TAGAGACAGAAAGCGAGAAATCACCCCCCAGGGGGGATGGTCACGCCGCAATCCCTTCTCCTCCATTCTCCTCTCGGGATCTTGGGCACGCACGCACACGCACCCGGCGTGAGTTTTAAGCCACCGGGTCCGGGACGCAAACCGTGGCCGACTATGTGGGAGTCCAGTGAAATAGCCATTATGCTAACTGCTGGTTCCCGAAATAATGCCAATTTAACCAATGTAATTCTGAGTAGTTTTAGATGTCTTCTGTCATTTGGGATATTTTTATATACAATTCCTGTTATTATGATCATTAAAAATAAAACCTATCTTGATAAATGCAACAACTAATCCTTGATTGGCGCTAAATTAAAAATAAAAGCAACAGGGGCCAGCAGATGGCATAGTGGTTACATTGCTGGACTCCCAAATGGCTGACCGTGGTTCAAGTCTGGTTGCTGGTGGCTTAAAACTCCTGCTGGGCACATGTACATGTGTGCTCAAAATCCTAAGAGAATGGAGAAGGGACTGCAGTGCGGCCATCCCCTCTGGGAGTGGTGATTTTTCGCTTTCTGTCTCTCTGGTGGGCACACAAGCCCTATAGCAAAAATCTCTCAAAAAAAACCTACATAAAAATTTAAAAATAAAGGCAATAAAGAACTTTTTTTTTAAAGAGAGGTTTTTTTATATAGGGCACGTGTGCTCTCCAGAGAAACAGAAAGCCAACAATCACTCCCTGGGGGGATGGCAACACTGCAATCCCATCTTCATTTTTCTCTTGGGATTTTACGTACACACACACACACACACACACACACACACACACGGTGTGAGTTGTAAGCTGCCAGGTCCAAGACTCGAACCATGGTGAACTAGGTGGGAGTACAGCAACATAACCATTATACCACCTGCTGGTCCTAATAAAGAACATTTTCTGTGACAATCTGGAAAATCCCTATATAGACTGTATATCTGATTACAGAAATACATTAGTGTTAACTTTCCTGAGTATATAACTACATCATAATTATGTAAAGAACATCCTTATTGTTAGGCGATATATACTGAAGTATTTGGGAATAAAGATTGTCAACAGGTTTAATAAAAGAATACATATAAAACCAATGTGGCAAAACTCTACTGACGAATCTATGTGAATGCAATGAGTACTCACATCATCACAACCACTAATTAAGAAATTTTAAGGTACTGAGGCCAGCAGATGGCATAAGAGTTACATCACTAGACTCCCACAAGGCAGACCATGGTTTGAGTCTCAAACCCAGTGGCTTGACAATCACATGGTGTGTGTGTGTGTGTGTGTGTGTGTACGCACGCATGCATGCCCAAGATCCCAGGAGAAGGGATTACTGCATGGCCATCCCCCCGGGGTGTGATTTCTCACTTTCCCTCTCACTATTTCTGTTTCTCTCTCTTTCTAGCAAGGACACGCACACTGAAGCAAAAACTTAAATAAAAAAAGAATGTTTTGAGGCATTCAGACTATACTATACATCACAGCTTAGAAGTTAGAATAATAATCTGTGGGTAACTATCACTTTAACTGAAAGTAAATTTTTTTTAAGTCAAATTATTAGACAAGTGAAAAGAGTTAATGCTATGTTTTGAATGTTTGTTTTCTCCAAAAATTCCAGTTGAAACTTATCCCCAATACACAGTGTTGGGAAATCTTTAGAAGCTTACAAAGGCTCGGCTCTGCTCTGTCAAAGGGCTTTATGGGAAGAATCTGGGCCATTTTGTTTTTCTGCTCTTCCACCATTAGAGGAAACCATGCTCCTCCCCAGCTCCTCCTCTCAGAGCACACAGAGAAAGGCACGGACTAGGTTGCTAGCTGGGGCCTTCACTGTGTACTTCCAACCCACCAGAACTGTGAGAAACACATCTGTCCTCTTTATAAATAACCCAGTCTGTGTATTCTGTGATAGGACCACAGCCAAAGGAATATATTCAAGAATAATTTCTGCAGGATAATTTATAATCCACAAAACTCAAATGTCCATTAGTGTGGCTTCCTATAGTAGGGACTGATTCTCAGAGACACAGCACAGCCTAAAGCAATAATTTTAGTGTACAGCATCATTAAATTTGCAACTCTGCAGCCACTGATAGGAATAAGATATAGTAGACTGACTTCAC